TTTCCTTGGTTTCTGCTGTAAACAAAGCAGCGCTGCACTTATGAACTTTTAATATGCATTATACAGAGGCAAGAGGAAAATAAAAAATACCATCGAAAGACAGTAAGTTCCCCTCAGACATACATTCATATAAACTCCTACCCCTAATTGAATCGCGATTTGTTTAGCATCTCAACCGATTTGAATCGTCACATATTTGAATCGATTTTCAACCGGCTCGCGGTTAATCGTTACATCCCTAGTTATTTTAGTATCATTAATATACTGTTATGGTTTTTATTACTATTTTGAATTGGTATTTGAATTTGTTTTTCTTTTTGTATTTTCCGTTTCAATTTTAAGTTTCGTTTTAGTTGCAGTTTTAGTAATTTTGTTGTGCATTTTTTAGCTATATTATATGTCTATTTAGTTTCTGTTAATTTTTAATTGTTTTAGTTTTTGTTATTTTAGGACTTCAAGCTAAACTAAGTTATTTTTTATTTTTGTTACATTTATCATTTATTATTTATTATTTTATTATATATATTTATTATTTATTATACTTTCATTATATTCATTATATATACTTTTTAACCTATTTTGAAAAAGTAATGTTAATGTTTTTTGATGGTTTTAGTTAGTTTCATTCAGGTCCGTTTTGACCCGGAAGCAGTACATAAAAACTTTGGAAATGAAATAAAATATTTTCAGATTTTTTATTTTTTTTAATTAAGAGATATAACCATTTAAACTAAATTGTTACACCTTTTGTATTCGGGTGACTTTACACATTAAATTATGCTGATTATTTTTTATAAAAAAAATTATTTTTTACATCTATTAGTTAGATTTGTTTGAAAAAAATTTGGACCGAATTTTGTTGGTAAATTTGAATATGCACGTACTAACACACAAACAAAAGATGTATTTCCATATCCATATGTCTGTGTTACATTTCATTCATGTTGTCTAAACCATCAGCCCTGGATGTTACGCTTCACCATTCATGTGTTTCTGTTGTATTATCACCTCCCCTCACACTCCCAAGGTTCAATGGGGCTGAAAGACTCCATAATTCCCCGTATTCCCCGGCAGCACTACTGTTCGTACGGACTGATTCCTCTGCCCTCCCCGTTCAGCTTCCTGTCCCAGGATTCCCCCCTCCCCTCCCCTACCGGAGCAAACTCCTACATGTTCCCCTCAGACGCAGGTAGCCTTCGACCCTATCCGCAAAAAACAGGCGACAACATCCTGGCTTTCTCAGGGATGTTGAGCGTGTGCAGTGAAGTGATTAAAGCGTGTCTGCTGCTCATCCGCCCAGTGTCCTGGACTACTGGTGCCTGTGTGTGTTATCCTCAATAAACTCTGAGTTGCTCCAGGACTCTTAAGACTCTTCCTGCAACTCTGCCTGTTGATTTATCATTCACATTCTCTCTCATTTACACCTGGCATTAACATCATCTTTTTTTGAAAGAAATTAATGCTTTGATTCAGCAAGGATTCATTAAATTGATCAAAAGTGACAGGAAATAATGTATAATGTTACAAAAGATTTCTATTTCAAATAAATGCTGTTCTTTTGAACTTTCTATTCATCTGTGAATCCTGAAAAATAAAATGTATCACAGTTTCCAATAAAATATTGGGCAGCACAGCTGTTTTCAACATTGATAATAATCAGAAATGTTTCTTGAGCAGCAAATCGGCATATTAGAATGATTTCTGAAGATCATGTGACACTGAAGACTGGAGTAATGATGCTGAAAATTCAGCTTTGATCTCAGAAATCAATTACATTTTAACATATATTACAATTGAATACAGTCATTTTAAATTGTAATAACATTTTGCAATTTTACTGTATTTTTGATCAAATAAATACAGCTTTTTTGAGCAGAAGAGACTTCTTTTACTAGGATGCATGTTGCGTTTCAGGTGTAAATGACAACCTGCCTAGGCTAACCTCTTAATAATCACTTATGGCGGATGTTAATACCTGCATCTGTCTGTCTCTCAGTCTGTCTGTCAGTCTCTGTGTATTTGTGGGATTTATGATGCTCTACTGTTTACGCACAGTTCCTTTAGTTCAGTAAGCATGTTGTTGTGTTCACTACACGCGTGTTTTTATCAGGTCGGAGGCGGTTCACGGTGGCCCAGTCAGACTCGCTGCTGACGCGAATGCGCTCGGTGGCCAGCGATGAACTTAACCAGATGATGCAGCGCAGGATGAGTCAAGAAAACCCCATCAGAGCCAGCGAGACGGAGCTGGTCCAGAGACTGCAGAGACTCGTGGTTCTGGCCGTTAATAGACTCATCTATCAAGGTACAGAAGACAAACATCAAATCTGTGATTAATATCTGCTCATAAACATTATCATCCGCTGTGAGCAGCCATTACAAAACACTTGAATGCAATTTACGTGCTTCTGAAAGTATATGCAGTACCTACCATGGTACTTTTTTGTTAGTGATAAGAAACAATCCATGTAGACTGAATACATTTGTTCCACGCTGACAGTTTGTCATTATTCTCCAGACATCAAACATGATTTCTTTGACTTCCTAAACTTTCCCGAGTCTCCTGATCATTCGATGTCTGTGCCGTTACTTGGCGAGCAGACGACCGATGAGAACGGCTCCACACCGCCCACCCCGATCCCACCAAGAAACATGAAGAGCTTCCGGAAAGATATTCTCAAACTAATGATGGAGGGCATAAAGATCGGCTTGGTAAGTTACTTGCAGTAGACATCAGCATGGCAGCAAATTACCCTTTTTTTGTTTGTTATTGGTTTTATTTTTGGATGCAGCACACATTATTTCAGAGAAATCAAATGTTTAACTCTGCCTTTGAATCAACATCTTTTTAGCTGATGAGACCGTAATCTTTGAATCGTCTTCATTTGGGGCCTTTCTCAGCAAATATATTTGATCATGTATGATTAATTTGATTAATTAATTAGTGTATTATGTAATTCATTAAATGTATTATTTAAAAAAAAAAGTTTTTGACATCCCTATAATTAATAAACAGCAATATTTACACACACACACACACACACACATATATATATATATATATATATAATTAAATAAATAATTAATGTAATTACCCATGAAAACTATGCATTTATCACGTTCAAGTCTTTTGCTTTTTTATTTGGCCATTAGGTATCGCAAAGACTGTTTATTATCATTAACTAAAACTTAACTCAATAAAAAATGTGTTAGTTGAAATAAAGTAAACATTAACTGAAATAAAATAAAGTATAAAAAACTTATTTTATTTCAGCTAGTTTTCATTTAGTTTCTAAAACTAAAAACTAGAACTTCATAAAAATTAAATAGACATGTTAAAAAAAGGAACAGAATAAAGACAAAAACAGCCAAATTACTAAAACTTTTTTTTTTTATATGAATCTTGTGACAAGAAAGGATTGTGAAAGTCTATTGCAGTGTTATTTTAGTATCATTGACATACTATTATAGTTTTTGTTCATATTTTTAATAGATTTTTTTATTTAAATTTTTTTATTTTACATGGTCTTTGCAATACCTAATGGCCAAATAAAAACACAAAAGACTTTAGCCTGTGATAAATAGGAGTGCTCCGATTGATTGGCTACCGATCGCTGTCGGCCAATAATCGCTTTGGGTAGTTTGATCGGCGGTCTCTATAAAGGCCACTCTCCTAGAGACGGTGCGCTCAAACACACTCAAAGTGCGCACACATAAGGCCGCCTCATATACAGCTCATGAAATCAGGCTTGTGCTGTGTGTAAGCTATTGTGCAGCAATAGCAGTTGCCCCATTGTAAAAACAAAGATGCACTGCATGATCAAACATTCTGGAGAGATGATTATATATTTTTGAAAAATGTCTAAAAAATGCCCCCTCAAATTAAAAAAATCACCTAAGAGGGAAATTCTCCCCATTTTCAAAAATGAAATTCAGGCCCTGAATGAATGTCTGTAAAAATCCTGATTGGAACATCACTATAAATAATTTTACATGATAAAAAGAAGACTTCAAAAAGATCGGTATCGGTGATCGTATCGCCAGATACTGCTTCCTGTGATCAATGATCGGTGATTGGCTCCAAAAATCCCGATCGGAGCACCCTTAGTGATAAATGCTTATGTCCTTCTGTTGATTCTTTAAGACAAAGTGTTCCTCGCTGGCCCTGCGCTCACTAACACGTGTTTTTTGTGATGGTTCATCTCCTCAGGGCAGCACCGGTCGTGGAGGTGCTCCTCGCCAGCAGTGGAAGCGAATCCTCTGGTGCTGCCGCGACACGTTCAGGGTCCAGATCGGCCGCATGCTGGTGCACACGCTCAGCCCCGCCGTTCCTCTGGAAGACAGGAAGGAGGCGCTAGAGTTCGTCCACGAGCAGAGCTACTCAGAGATCCTCAGAGAAAGCCTGAGTCCCGGCCTCGAGGTGAGGGCGCTGCAGTCTGACAAGCTGACATGTTGACAGAAATGGCTTTTTGTTTTTTACATGCCGACCAGAGACGGTGTGACATTTTGCTTTGGTTATTTGCTGATCAGATTTGTGTATCCAGTCAAAGCACAGCCCACATGCACACTTCCTCTGTTGGGAGGAAGACAGTGACATTTCACTGCTCTGCTTCTGACATACAGTAAATAACCCACAGAAACATTTTCATGATACTGTTTCCATGGCAGCAGTGCCGTCCTTTCTCCATTATACTGCAGACTGGCACTAAAAAGACCATTAACCCTCAGAGCCCCAGCATAACAGAACTGCAACATTTGCATAAAGCAATTAACTAACACCAAATTTTGATTAAATGAGGGTAAAAACTACACATGACAGTAGCTGGTACTCTGAAATTTATCACAACAGCCGTTTTGGTGGGAAAATTTTTTTATTAATGGCCACAGCTTGCTAAAGGGACGAATGGACAAACACAAAATGGACAAAATAGTCACACAAAACACTTCTGGAACAAGTTTTTGACATAAATTTGAGACCTTTTTTCTAAGCATTGCAGAAATGTTTGCAAAAGGGTCTTTTTGCAACTTTTATTTTTGAGTCTATTCATTGAATGGTATAAAAATCTATTCTTTTTTTTATTTTAAGGTATTTTCTGGGCTGTTTTGTCATTATTTTCTCAGTGATATAATACTGTATTCGGTTCATGAAAATGAATCAAACTTTCCAACTAACCATTTTTGCTATTGAAGGCTAAATCAGAAACACTTTTAAAAGATCTCAAGACACAACTTAATACAAACATCTAATTATTACACAATTTAGAGAAAATGTACAGCATGAAGACTGAAAAAAACTAAAGGCAAGAATAATACATGTATATTTTAATTACGTAATGTGAAAAATTTATTGTATTTAAAATGTATCATAAATCATTATTTATGAAAATATAGTGCAATTTCTTTTAATTACTGTATCCTTACTGGTTGAAATATATGCGTTTGTGTGCTGAATTGTGTTGAATTCAAATCTTGCAGTACTGTATCAAAAATAGTGGTGAAACTTTGCAACCGTAAATGCCTATTGTTGCAATCTTGCTACGTTTTTCTAAGTTTTACACCAATGCAAATTTGAATGAAATGGCTTTAATCACTAATGGCTTCCCACAGACATGTTTGAGGGTGAAACAAAAAAAAAAAATCATGAACTTCAATGGTTAAATAAAGGGAAATTGGGTTTGGAAATGTGATTTGGAAATGTATTTATGTTGTTGATCAATATGTTTTATCTTCAATGGATAAATAGCAGAAATAATACTGATATATTGTAAATGCCTCTAATTAGAATTCCTCAAAATCCTTCCTTTTGTGTTGTGTTTTTTATTAGCACGGGCCCAAGCTGGCTCTGTATCTGTACGAGCTGTTACACGATCACAAAGACGCCCTGAGCAAAGAAGAGCAGGCGTCTGCCAACACCTTCATGACGGCGCTGAAACTCTGCGGCCACCGCTGCATCCCACCTAGCGCTCCCGCCAAACCAGACCTACTCAAAGCCATCAAAGAGGTGCGCATGGCCAGACACACTCTCTGAGGTTATACGCTGTTTGGTTAAAACAAGCTCAAACAACAGCGCGAGAACGTGGGTTGATTCCCAGGGAATGCATAAACTTAAATTCAGTATAATTGCAATTTTCAAAGTTTTAACATGAACAGACTAACTTAACGTGACTCATACTTGTCAGTCTTACAAAAATGAAACCAGTCAGATTTCTGCTTTCAACAAAATCATGCCATAGTTTAATATTAACTATTTGCACCTATTTGAATTTATTGAAATAATCATATTTTCAAAATGCATTTATTCCAGAATGAATCAACATAAATCTGTATTTGCGAAAACAAACACGTTTATTCAGTGAAAAAGTATGAAAATGCTTAAAATATGTCTAGCTGTGGAACAAGCAATATTCAGTCGGTTAAAATGTATGAGACTTAAACAAATTGGATTTATTGATGATACATGCATAAAGCTGGTTATTGTGTATTTAAAAAATCATTCAGTTTATTAGTACGATTACAGAAATCTGACCTGTTTCATTTATGCATGGCTGACAAATATGCATCACAAATATGCATCACATCAAACGGATGAAAATTTTAAATGCAACTTAAATGCATAAATTTTAAATTTAGGCCTACTTGTTGTTTGAGTGTGGATAAAAGCATCTTTCAAATGCATACATGTAAATGTAAAACTGGAGCAATATGTAAAACATGTCAAATATGCATGTAAAACTGGAGCAAACACAGTAATTTATATATTCATTTGTTAGTCTTTTACTTTTATTTGCTGAGGTTGATTCTACTGGTTTCTCGAGTAATAAAGGTCATTTTCTGCACATTTTAGCATTTTAGTTTCCCCCTGCGGCCTACATATAATATTAGTCCAGGTTCGCATGAGCCTTTTTTTTGCAGTTTACTGTTTACTTGTACTGTGAATGCTAGTAATATGACTACTTTTAAATAGTCTGTAGTTCTAGTGTTTGCATCTTATTAATGTTCATCTGAAGCTGTTTTACTATTCCTTATTAAGGAGCAACTGAAATACGAGTCAGAAGCAAGAACCAGCAAAGGAGCCTGGGAAAAGAAGCTGGCTAACACTCAGAGGAGGTGAGCGCTTCGAGAGAAACACAAAATCTCAAAATAACACACGCCTTCGGCATTTTTCTGAGCTCTTCCGTTCTCCGTTTCAGCCTGTTGCAGAGGCTGGATGGGAAGTCGAAGGATATCTCGAAGATCGCCGCTGACGTCACTCAGAACGTGTCTCTCAGGCAGGGCATGGAGCGGAAGAAGCTCATGCAGCACATCAGGGGCCTTTATAAAACCGACCTGAGCGCCAGCCGCCACTGGCAGGAGCTCGTGCAGCAGCTCACTCACGACCGGTCAGCATCACTCACTGGAGCGCCACAACTAAAATAGTTCACTCATGTCATCATTTATTGATCCTCATGTTGTTTCAAACCTGTATGATGTTGTTTTTTCCCATGGAACAGGGCGGTGTGGTATGATCAGTCATCTTACCCCACTTCCTGGCAGTTGGATCCCACCGAGGGGCCCAACCGAGAGCGGAGACGCCTGCAGCGCTGCTACCTGACCATCCCTAACAAATATCTGCTCAAAGACCGACACAAACTAGATGGTGAGCTTCCAGCCCTCTGACTGGAGAAAACACTTAAAACATCTGCTCAGCACTTTCTGTTTTCTAGACTCTCTACAGTGTATTTTCATGATGCAGTTTGTTTAATCAAAAGCATAAACAAATGGAAAAATCTTTCAAGAACATGTCTGGGTCATTTTTCACCCCAAAATAAGTAAGTAAATAAATATATACAGTATAAGTAAATTAATTGGTAAATAAATAAATGTAATAAATAATTAAATAAAATGAACAAGTAAAATTAATGAGTGCATAAGTAAATGAATAAAATACTAAGTAAATGAGTGCATTTAATAATTAAATAAAATGAATAAGTATATAAGTAAATATAATAAGTAAATAAATTACAAAGTAAATAAGTACATTTAATAATTAATTAAAATGAATAAGTAAATAAACATACAAGTAAATAAAATAAAAGGTAAATAAATAAGTAAATTACTAAGCAAATAAGTACATAAGTACATTTAATAAGTAATTAAGTAAATAAATAAACATATAAGTAAATAAAATAATAAGTAAATTACTAAGCAAATAAGAATTACCAAGCAGATAAATTAATAAGATAGTAAGTAAATAAATAAATTACTAAGTAAATAAGTAAAATAATCAGTAAGTGAATAAGTAAATATGTAAATAAATAAATAAAATAAATTGTACTTTTTTACACTTCGGGACGAAATGTGATCTGCATGCGCTTTCTAGATGACCAAATGCATATGACAGTAACACAAAACTACCAAAACCTGTAATACCATGGTATTCTTTCAAATCCGTTGGAGTGCTGTTTAATCAGAATGGTTTATGAATATGTTAATCATACAATGTTACCATCTGATACCATCATTGTACCATGATAGCACCGCAGTACTGCCTGTACAGAAAGTGGTTGCTGGAATGACAGAACTTAAAAACTCTAACGCTTTTGATGCTGTTGGTTTTATTGGTCTTATGCATGTGGTTTGTCCGTCACAGATGCCATCAAGGCTCCTCTGGCCTTCCTGTTTGAGGACAAAACTCATTCCTCTTCATCCATAGTGAAGGACAAAGCCACCAGTGAGCCCATCAGGTACTCACACAACTCCCGTCTCACTGCACAACTAGTAACTAGTCTGTTTTCAGACTCACATTGCAGAATTTCAAAGAATTAAAAAACTTCTGTTTAGGTTTACGAGAAAGTGTGTAAGTGTGGCGCCCTCTAGAGAGACGGCAGGAGAGCTGTTGCTGGGTAAGATTCGTCCACCCTCCATAACATCAGTCTTGCGTTGGCTGTTAATTGTCTTCACATCTTGTTTTATGGGTCGGCAGGAAAATCTGGGATGTACTTTGTGGAGGATAATGTTGCAGAGACACTTGATAACCATGTAAGTTATTTTGCTGAACGTTAGGAATATATACGGTTCTATGTAATAGTAAAAATTTATCATTCATTTATCATGAACAATCTGATCTTTTAGTTTTTGTCCATAAAAAAATTAATTCACTGAATTATTCAAAAATAGGCTTTACCACCTTATTATTATTATAAAATCCTGTGTTATTTTAGTATCATTGATATACTATTATTTTTTTTGTTAAAATTTTAAAGTAGATTTAATTTGTATATTTTGTACTTTCACCTTAGTTTTAGTAATTTTGTTGTGTGTTTTTGTAATTTTTATTATTTAATTTTTTTTACAAGCCCAATTCCAGAAAAGTTGGGACGTTTTGTGAAATGCCATAAAATCAAGAATATGATATTTGTTCATTCTTTTAAACCTTTATTTAATTGACTAACGAACAAAGAAAAAAATTCCAATGTTTTCACTGGCCAACTTAATTTTACTTTGTAAATATAAAAAAAATTTGATTTTGATGGCTGCAACACACTCCATAAGTTGGGACAGAGGCATGTTTACCACTGTGTCACATCAACTTTCCTTTTAATTACAATTTTTACAAAATTTAATTGTTTGGGAATTGAGGATACTAATTGTTAAAGTTTTGCAAGTAAAAGTTTTGTCCAATCTCGCTTGATACAAGACTTCAGATGCTCAACAGTCTCTGATAGTTGTTGTCTGATTCTCCTTTTCATGACTGGTCATACATGTTCAATAGGAGACCGATCTGGACTGATCAGACGCATTCACTCGGTGTCTTCGAAACCACGCTGTTGTAGCACATTCAGAAAGAACCTGCCATTGTCTTGATCTCATAGCCATGGACTTCCCATGAAAGACATAATCTAGATGGCAGTATGCGTTTCTGTACGATCCCAATATATGCCTCCATGTCAAGGGTACTTTCCCATACCATGACAGACGTTTGCTTCTGCATCTGTCGCTGATGAAAGTCTGGATGGTCCCTTTGGTCTTTGGGACTGAGAACTTGACGTCCATTGTGGGCTCATCTGAGCACAGCACTGTCTTTTTGACTATCTGAGATGAGCTCTGGCCCAGAGAACCCCACGGCATCACTGCATAGAATCGATGTATAGCTTTCTCCTCGAGTAACAGAGATTCAGGTTGCACTTATTGATGCAGCGGCAGACTGTGTTAAGTGACAGCGGTTTTCTGAAGTACTTCTGAGCCCATGTGGCTCTATTTAATACTGCAGCATGACGGTTTCTCATGCAATGCCATCTGAGGGGTCAAAGGTCACACACATTCATCTGAGGTTTCCTGCCTTGCCCTACACAGACTGAGATTTATCTGGATTCCCTGAATCTTTTCACAATATTATGTATGGTAGTTGGTGAAAGACCTAAATTCTTTGTGATTTTGCATTGAGAAATGTGATTTTTGATTTGTTTGACACTTCTCTCGTGAAATTTGGCACAAAGTGATGAGCCGTGATCCAGCTTTGCTTGCAAAGACTGAGATGCTCCTTTTATACCCAAACATGACACCCTCACCTATTACCAATTCACCTGCTTACTGTGAACTTTCAAAACAGTTTAACATGGATATTCTAAAACCTTTTCACTTTTATTTTGCTTCTGTCCCATCTTTTTTGGAGTGTGTTGCAGCCATCAAAATCAAAATGTATTTATATTTACAAAATACATTTCAGTTGGTCAGTGAAAACTTTGGAAATTTTTTCTTTGTACTTTTGTTAATTAAATAAAAGTTAAAGATAATTAACAAATCACAGATTCTTGATTTTATTGCATTTTACAAAAACGTCCCAACTTTTCTGGAATTGGGGTTGTAATATGTCTGTATAGTTTTAGTTTATTTAGTTTGTTAGTTTAGTACTTCAACTTAAATTAAACAAAAATGAGAAATGTTGCCTTGGCAACATAAAATAAGTTATGCCTTTTTATTTTATTTCAGTTAATGTTTATTTTATTAGTCATTGTTTAGTTTTATTGAACAATAATAACCAATTTTCTTTTTTTTCCCCAGCAACTAAATAATGTTTTTTTTATATATATTATTTTATTCATAATATATATTTAAAAAAACATTATTTATAATATGAATGAATAAATAAATTAATAATGTGATTTTAATAAAAATTGTTAAAAGTTTACTCCACTATTACTCAATATTGTTCTCAATATGCAGTATACACTATGTATTTTTATGCTTGTGGGAGTATCATTTATTTTTCTCTATTAAAATCAGCTCTGAATCAAGCGTCCCATGCATTAGTCATTTATAATAATTCCTTACATTTATATAGCGCTTTTCTGGGCACTCAAAGCGCTTTACATAGAAGGGGGGAATCTCCTCATTTATAAGACACTATTTCAGTTAGCATGCTACCTTAGAAGACAGCTGCCTACATAAGCAAGGTTTTGGAACAAAGCCTTCTTCATTCTACACATGCATAACACTCTTTGATCTCTCATTTGTATCCATAAAGCATAGCATTGCAGCTGTCATTAGGTGTGTGCAAGTGTAACTAACAGTGATTTTATTTTATTTTTTTAACTACTGTGAAGTTACTCATAACATGATGTAAGTTTGGTCATACCACCCCTAATAGATTTGATGAGGCATATGTATGTTTTAGAGGTTGATAGTGTGTCTTCACACCAGAGTCCACATGGAGAGACGGAACCGGCCTCCTTCTCCTGGACGTATGAGGAGATAAAGGAGGTTCACAAGCGCTGGTGGCAGCTCAGAGACAATGCTATGGAGATCTTCCTCACCAACGGCAGGACGCTGCTGCTCGCGTTTGATACCACCAAGGTAATGACATCGCTGTCAAACCGGCATTCAGCATTAGCTGCTGAATGATTTATTATGTGCAATTCAGTAAATTCCTCTTCATGTCATTCCCATGTCAATTCTGCCCAACTCTAACGTCCGGTTTATCCTCTCTCTGGTCTCCATCTCAGTTCCGCGACGACGTCTACCACAACATCCTGAGCTCAGAGCTGCCCAACCTGCTGGAGTACGGTAACATCTCCGCCCTCACGCACCTGTGGAGCTCAGGACAGATAACCAACTTCGAGTACCTCACCCACCTCAACAAGCACGCGGGCCGCTCCTTCAACGACCTCATGCAGTATCCCGTCTTCCCCTTCATCCTGCGAGACTACACCAGTGAGACGCTGGACCTGCAGGACACCTCCATTTACAGGTCAGAACCAACCCCGCATCAACATCGTTACTGTATTTGTGTGGTGTTTTTCGGTAGTGATAGCCTGATATACCTGATATTTATCAATCCCATATTTTTTTCCATATATAATTGTAAATATTTTATATTTTAAATATTATTAAAAAAACTGATACATTTAATATTTTAGATTTTAGAAGTCACTGTCTTTGTCACTGAATCATTCATTCAGTCGATTGGTTCAAACAGCTGATTCATTCAGGAATGAAGCAAGTGACCGTTCAAAAAGATTCATTCAAAAATTATTATTATTGCGCTATGTTTATGTGTGTAGGCTATTGAATGAATAAAACAATCCCTTTCATTTCCAAAAAAAATCTTCCCCCCCCCCCATTTCCAGCCCTGGTTAGTGTAGCAAAACCATGGTTAATTTGTTGTTACCATGGATTAACTATAGTAACCATAGTTGTTTTTTTTCTCCATTTTCTTAAAAATGGTTTAAAGGATGAGATGTGAAGGCCATGGTCCTTAAACTTTTTGTTTTTGTGAAAACCTGTATCTGAACTGTAAATCATGCTTTTTGCAATCATTTTACAGTTTAATGTTACCATAGATACTGCCCTTCCCTGCTTATATGGTATTCATTTTATTTGTGCAGGTCTTAAAAAAGGTCTTAAAAAGTCTTAAATTTGAGCTTGAAAATCCTGCAGAAACCCTGTTTGCGCTACAGTGGTAACTGTTCTCTAATTTTGATCACTGTGTTTTCCACAAAATAAAGGTTTTTGTTGAAAATATATTTGTATGTAGAAATAGAAATGGATTATACATAAAATATAATATAAAATAAAATATTTTTATATTATTTTTAAATATGTCATATTTATAGTTATATGTGGTGAAAAGATGTAGTCGATCAATATGGAATTTGCGTACTTTCATTTGTACTATTTTATTGCTTTTAATATAGATATATTAGTATTGCATTCAGTTTTGCTTTCTATTTGTCTTTTTGATGTAACAGGTACCTCAGCAAACCCATCGCAGTGCAGTCTAAAGAGAAGGAAGACCGTTATGTGGACAATTACAGGGTACTGCAGCACTGCAGGCTCTAATTCCTGTTTACAGCAGTGCCTGTTAACCAATCACACTGTGGCTCTGTTCCAAAACCTGCTGAGCTGCCTACATAGGCAGCATTTTTAGGCATTTCCAGCACGAAGGCCTTTCCAAACAGTAGGTGGCAACATTATGTTGCCTTCTAAGATATCTTCTTGGCCAAATTCTGACGTAGCATCGTAAGTGTCCTTGGCAGAAAAGGCAATCCCAGAAATGAATTCCTACAACCACATTATTATAAATAATAATATATATTATAATTTTTAATATATATTATTTTATTAATATCTATTATTTACTATTATTTATTATATATATATATATATATATATATA